TTGACAAACTAGCAGCGCTGTTGTCGTGACTAACAAAAGCCGAGATGCCACGTCCAGGCAGCGTTTCCCCTTCCACTTTCTTGAAGTAATTTTTTGTGAGGCTATCATTTTCGTAACTACATATTGAGTGGTCAGGCCTTTTTCCTACTCCCTTAACTTCAAAATCGCATGTTCTTTAAACCTCCTAATCCGCCTAATTTTGTCACGAATGTTAACCCGCACCAATGCAATGTCCTATTCGATTTTCCTGTTGGGTTATGTTTCTTCTTCTTCTTCTAAAATTATGCTCCGATTTTCCTCCAAATTGTCTAGCAAGGAATCCCAACACGAAGTAATTTTCTGTGAAATGTTTCAAAAAGCTAAAAGCTGTGTTTGTCCGCGCCTGCTGCGCTGCTACCTTCCAGCTGTTGCCTAGTCGATTATCTAGTCAGCTAAACGTGTCTACTAAAATGATTTCAGCGGCATTTTTTTTTATTTCAGACTACTAAACGGCCGTTGTCTGACCTTACTCCACAACCTGAAAAAGGGAATAGAGGAAAAAAGAAACTGAAGATTGACTGTGAGGCTCTCCGGTTCAAATGGCTTGACGCGTACCACAAAATCGAACTCCAGAACGCAGCAGATGCTAGTGACGACGAGTGTCGGAAGGATGGGTATGGCTTGAAGGACTCCGTTATTTTCAGCATAACACCTAAACTTTGGTATAATTTCCTGCTTAATTTTCCAGATCTGTTTACTCTGGCCATCGAGTGAAGAGCCCCTGTGCGCCCACCAGCACACGCAGTTCACGGCCGATCTCGGAGCTTCGGTGTGCATGTGTCGATGCGCGTGATCACTTCCCTGCCGGTTCCTTCATCTCCTTTGGTCCGTGGCTGTCGAACACGTCGGTGAGACGGTATCGGAGCCTGCAGCACGATCTAGGCAAACGGCGACCTTGAGCAGCATGATCTGCGTCCGTGATGATCAATCACGACTTCGCCGTGTACATGCATATCAATGGATGCTATAGTGTGCTCTTAAATCTTCTGGGCTATTCTTTCATTACGAAATTGTGACAAGGTTGACACCACTTTTAAAATAACTGACAGAGTTTATTCATCGTGTTTTGCTATCTGTTTGGCGTCTGATTTGAAGTTCCGAAATAGATATCACAAAGTTACGAAAATGACGCCGCATGTAGTGGTTAATTTTGGATGCCAGAAACTTGATTAGGACTTTCATGCTCTCAGGTTTGAATGTCTAATTGGAGATCCAGGCAGAATTTCGAAACAATTATGCTCA